CGCGCCCAGCGCCTTTTAAGGCCTGCAGGATCCCCCCCCTCCCCATGGATAGCCTGCACCCCGCTCCCAGAGCACCCCGGGAGCGCAGGCCATCCCTGATCCTCTTCCCCTACTCTCCCAAGCGTCCCCAGGAGACAATCGGGGTGGGGGGCCAGGGTTGATCGGAAGGGCCTTTCCAGCCTCCTCCAGGTCTCTGCCCGTCCACACAAGCATCACCCCATCCTTGGTGGCCACCAAGACCCCCATGCCTCCTCCTCCAGGCAGCCACTGAGATTGACCCCCGGGGGGGGTGAGGGGGGGCCTGGCCAGTATGGGCTCAACTCCATGAACCCCAACTCAATCCTGGATTACAGTTTCTCCTCCATAGGAACGAACCCAGTTGTTGTTTGTGGCTGCCTGTGTAAATGGGGTGTTTGTTCTAAAATCTGGCGCGCGCACACACACACACCTCTTGCTTACAGCAGATCAGAGATTAATGACGAAGCTTGGGGAGAGGCCGGTCTCCCCCTTTTTTTAAAAATTCTCTTTGAGAAACTTGGTCATCGGGGTCAGGGTTCTTGGGGTTTGTGTCCTCCCCGTCTATAAATATTTCCACCTCAGTCTCCTGAGTGCTGGGATTACAGGTGTGTGCTACCATTCTGAGTGTTAGTTCCTGTGTCTAAACTACTGGTAGATCAGCAGTTTGGTCTGGTGATGGTCTCAAGAGAGAGAGTTCAGCCGAATAATGATTTAAGACCAGTTTCCACATTTCTATGGCCTCATCTCATTTGTTAGGCTGTTTTACGACTGTCTTTAATAGCTCACTTTGTTTCCGAGTCACATTTCCCTGTAGTTTTGCATCCTGGTCTATGGGCAGGTGTTTGCCTTGAACTCTTGCTCAGCTTTTTTTTTTTTTTTCCTTCCAGTCCTGGGGCTTGAACTCAGGGCCTGGGCACTGTCTCTGAGCTTCTCTGTGCTCAAGGCTAGCCCTCTACCATTTGAGCCACAGCACTACTTCTGGCCTTTTCTCTTTATGTGGTACTAAGGAATCAAACCCAAGGCTTCATGCACACGAGGCAAGCACTCTACCACTAAGCCCCCTTCCCAGCTCTTGCTTGGCTTTTTAACTCAAGGCTGGTGCTCTATCACTTGAGCCACACTTGCATGTCTTGCTTTTTGGTGGTTAACTGGAGATAAGAGTCTCAGGACTGTTTCTGCTCAAGCTAACTTTGAACCTCAATCCTCAGATCTCAGCCTCCCTGAGTAGCCAAGCTTACAGGTGTGAGCACAGCTCCTTTTCTGACAAATGCAGTTGCTTTTTCTTAAAACCCAGACTAACCAGATGGCAGCAGCAAGGAGACAGAGGTGGATTCTAAGCCTGGGGACTGCCCTTAGATTACCTTGATGTTCCGCTGACCTTGATAGAAGCTAAGGGGGGGGGCAGGCCACCATGTTTTACAGGATGGGCAAGATGACCCTTAGTTCCCTTCTAATCCAGACATGATTTGATCTGGTGACTTGCTGTTACTCAGATCTTCAACAATCACAGCTGAAGGCTCCATCCGGCCATTGTTAAAGTCTCAGGCTTGGAGAGTTCACCTGCACTGTCTTCAGGCTACTGTTCATCCCTCAACCCCAAATTGATCGTTGTAGCTTAAAGGGTCTTTACTGTGGGACACAGAAACAAGCTACTCACGCTTCTGTGTCACAATTCATCTTTCTCTGTGTGTGCTAGTCTCAGGACTTGAACACAGGATCTCAACATTCTCTCTTGGCTTTTTCTGCTCAAGGCTGATGCTCTACCACTTGAGCCACAGCTCCACTTTTGGCTTTTTGCTGGTTAATTGGGAATTTGAGAGCCTCATGGAATTTTGATCAAGCTCTTCAGATCTCCGCCTCCTGAGTAGCTGGGATTACAGGCGTGAGCCAACACACCCAGCATTCCTCATCTTTAGAACGGGGAGAATAGAAGATTTATATCGATAATGTGGAAGAGTCCCATCCAGAGCCACTCCATAACCCAGAGAAGCATCTTCTAGACCCTCCTAATTCCTTCCACTTTAACTCAAGCAAGGGTTATGTTAGGACAAACAATCCATCTTCCTCCATAATCCATCTTCCTCTGGTAAAGGACCCTCAAGCAACCAAAATATGGAAGCTATACCAGTGAGCCCAACAGTGGGCATACAGCAAGTGCTTAATAGATGTCTCTGGAGTGAACATTGAGGCATAGCCAGAAATGGCATACAGTAGCATCTTTCTTTGGTGCTTGAACTCAGGACTTGAGTGGTGTTCCTGAGCTCTTTTTTTTTGTCAAGGCTGGTGCTTTAGCACTTGAGCCACAGCTTCACTTCTGGCAGGTAACTGGAGATAAGAGTCTCAAAGGACTCTTCTGACCTGGCTAGCATTGAATTGTGATCCTGAGATCTCAGCCTCCTGAGTAGCTAGAATGACAGGCATGAGCCACTGGCACCCAGCGATCGTAGGGGCTTTTGATCCTGGGCCCCTAACTTGTAGGAATCCCCAGAATACTGGAAGGGAAGGAAACCCAGCCTCTGTCCCAGGACAATCTCCAGTCACCCAGCCTTTGTCCAGAAGGATCCCCAACTCCAGTCTGATGAAGAAGGCCTGGCCTTTTCCACCTATGTGGACCTGTGAGGCTTTCCTGATACCCGATGGTTCTAGGGTGCCAACTCCCCTAGGAGCTACACTAGGCCTAAGGCTCTTCTTTGGGACCCCTCAGTGATGATACTGCTTTCTGGAGTCACAGCATGACAAACTTCCCTGACATCAAAGCTGAGCAGGGCCTTACATCCTGCTGGAGGGGGGGATCTGTCTCTCATCTGTCTCTCATCTCATCTGTGTCTAAAGGCCTAGAGTCTGACCCAGACTTCTGCCTGGGGTGGGGGTGGGAACCCCCACCTTGCACAGTATGTGGGGGGAGGGGGGCAAAGTGGAGAGGGAGGTTGGTTGGGGGGGGGAGGGATGGGGGTCAGGCAGGGCCTGGGAACTCCGTGGGCTGCCCGCAAGCCAGGACTGTTCCTGGTCCTCTCCAAATCCCAGGGGACCCCCTCAGTGTGTCTGCGAGGAGGAAATGCTCCCCGCCCTGAGGCAGGCCACACCCACTGGCGCCCGAAGGGGGCGGGCCCCGAGGGCGGAGCTTCAGAACCAAGGCCTCCTATTGGGTGACTCCCTTCCTTACTGCTTGGCCCGCTGAAGAAACTGGGTGTGTGCTTGAGTCTCTACCCACACGGAAGAGGGGCTGGGGCTGGGGCTGGGGGAGATCAAAAAGCAAGCAGAGAGCAAAGTCTGGCCAGGAAGCCTTTGGGCTTCTTCCACCACCTCCTGCTCTCAGGAGGACACGATGGCTCCATTTGGTTGTGTCTGGCAGTTATTAAGTGTTAGGGAACAGAAGCGAACCATGACCCCAGGCTTGGGGCTGTGATTACTCAGCCCTGCCTTCTCTCCTTGGGTCTCCCAGAAGCAGCAAGCTTAGTGGGGGTGGAGAGGCGCCGCCAGACTGGGCTGGAAAGCAGGTCTGAGGTCAGCAGACAGGGTCCAGTTCAATGCCAGCTGCCCCTCTCCTCTCTCAGACCACCTTCTTCTAGGAGGTGGGAATGGCCAGGGAACTCAGCCTACACTCAGGGGCTGGCACTGCAGAGCACACTTGTGGTACCTGCTGCCTGGACCTTCCAGGCCTTCTCAGGCAATGTTTTGGCCTCAGAGAAGGCAAGAAGCTGGCAAGAAGACCTGGAATAGGACTCATGAGACTCTTGTCCCCACCCAACCCCCATCTCCTTCTCCTCTTCCTGCCTGGTCCCAAGGGCACAGCATTTGAGATATTTCTGGCAGCTCTCCTGCAGGCTGCTCGCTTCCCAGGCTCACACAAGTGGCCCCACATCCCAGACTCTTTTTTGATGAGGTGAACTGTTGTAAGAGTTTCCTAGTTGGGGGCAGCGGGGAGCATTCTGCTGTTTGCAAATGTATCTATAAAAGTCTATCCATTAGGCTGGGAATGTAGCTTGGTGGTAGAGTGCTTGCCTAGCATGCATGAATCCCTGGGTTTGATTCCTCAGTACCACACACACAGAGAAAAAGCTGGAAGTGGTGCTGTGGCTCAAGTGGTAGAGTGCTAGCCTGGAGCAAAAGAAGCTCAGGGACAGCGCCCAAGCCCTGAATTCAGGCTCCAGGACTGGCAAAAAAAGAAAAGGCTACGTAGACATGTTCCTTAAGGAAGAGGGAAAGTTCATCTGCTCGTCTCCCACTTTCTGCCTGGTTATCAAGTGCTACTCTAGCTTCCAGAACAAGGCAGAGCTGGCAGCCGATGCCACACATGTGGCTGAGATCTGAGGATCACAGTTTGAAGCAGCCTGGGTAAGAAAGTCTGTGAGACTCTTATCTCAGTGATTTTATACACACACACACACACACACACACACACACACACACACACTATGTGTGTGTGTGTATATATATATATATATATATATATATATATATATACACTAGGGAGAGGGTGGTGGGGAGGGAGAGAGAGTGTGTGTCCTTGGTCTTCAGCTCTATATTTGCCTTTTTCCCCTCAAGGCTGGCACTCTACCACTTGTGCTACAGCTCCACTTCCAGTGTTTTGCTGATTTACTGGAGTCTCAGGGGCTTTTCTGCATGAGATGGCTTACAGGTGGGAGCCACTAGCGCCTGACAATTTTTAACAAATCTTGACATTGAAATTTAACAGCTGGGTCCAGGGGCGGAGCCTCAGCCCAGCCTCAGAACTGAGCCTCCACTTGGATGACCTGGCTGATGAAGGAAGGTGGAAATTGGGTGTGCAAGGGTCATTATTAAAAAAAAGCCCTCCTCATCCACAGGCATGTGATTACCTGAGGACCCCCCCCCACACACACACTTTTATTCTCCCAAGATCCAAAGCCACACCACAGCAGAGTGGTCAGGTCCAGGTTCCTTTTCCCAACCTATATCAAAAATTGCTTCCACATGCTTATTGGATACTCACCTGCAGGTAGAACTGTTACTCTTCCCATTTTCCCCAAAAGGAAACTGAGGCAGGAGCCCGGTTTCGCTCCCTGGTTTCACTTCCCTCCAACCCATGTCCGTCCTACCCTTCTGAGCTGATGGCTGACCTCTTCCTTAGAAAGACCCAGGTCAAGTCACCTGAGCCTCCTGGAGAACACGAAGATAGTGTCCCAGCTCTCTGACTGGTTCCATTTTTCAAGAGGAGGAAAGCAGGCTTCAAGTCAGGGACTTTGGAGTCCTTGCATTCATGGTGACACCCCTGGCATGGACCAAGTGACCCGGTCTGGCTTTACCAGTAGCCCATGCAGAGCCCAACAGCAGGCAGTAATAGCTGACCAGTAGATGGTTGCTCTATGATCTGTGTCTTACAGGTGTCCAGAGGTCCTCTGGGCCCGTGGCCATCCACCCTTCGGGCTGTCAGATCACATGAGCTGGTCCTATCTTTAGCTAGGGAAGTATTTATATCCCCTAGGGAAGTTTATTTTCCCCCCCACTGTGTGTGTGTGTGTGTGTAGGGGGGGGAGGCCCCCGAGTTCATAGCCAGGCAGATCCCGGAGGTGTTCCTCCCCCCCAGCCCCCCATACACCCCTACTCCCAGCCGTGGCCTCCTCCCCTTCTGATTCACCATGCCTCGGGACCCGGGGGTCGCGGTGCAGGTGTGGGTGGACGGCCAGCTCTTCCAGGCCGATCGGGCCCTGTTGGTGGAGCACTGCGATTTCTTCCGCGGTCTGTTCCGCTCGGGCATGCGGGAGGCGCGCGCCGCCGAGGTGCACCTGGGCGCGCTGAGCGCGGGCGGCTTCGGCACGGCGCTGCGGGTGCTGCGCGGGGAGCGGCCGGCGCTGGCGGCCGACGACGAGCTGCTGCAGGCCGTGGAGTGCGCCGCCTTCCTGCAGGCCCCGGCGCTGGCGCGTTTCCTGGAGCACAGCGTCACGTCGGACAACTGCGTGCTGCTGTGCGAGGCGGCCGCCGCCTTCGGCCTGCGCGACGTGTTCCACGGGGCTGCGCTGTGCATCCGCGACGGCGCGCACGAGCTGCAGGCCCAGCTGGCTCTGCCCGAGGCCCGCGACTACGTGGCCACCCTGAGACCCAGCTGTTACGTGGCCCTGACCACGCACACGCCCGCGCCGGGCTTCCTGGAAGACGCCTCCCGCACCATGTGCTACCTGGACGAGGAAGGGGACGCGTGGCGCACGCTGGCCGCGCTGCCCCTGGAGGCCAGCACCATGCTGGCGGGCGTGGCCACGCTGGGCAACAAGCTGTACATCGTGGGCGGCGTGCGGGGCGCCAGCAAGGAGGTGGTGGAGCTGGGTTTCTGCTACGATCCGGAGGGCCACACGTGGCGCCGGTTCCCCAGCCCGCACCAGCCGCGCTACGACCTGTCGCTGGCGGGTTTCGACGGCCGCCTGTACGCCATCGGCGGCGAGTTCAACCGCACCCCGGTGAGCTCCGTGGAACGCTACGATCCGATCGCCGGCGGCTGGAGTTTCGTAGCCGATCTCCCCCAACCCGCCACCGCCGTGCCCTGCGCGCAGGCCCGCGGCCGCCTCTTCGTGTGTCTCTGGCGACCCGCCGACACCACGGCCGTGCTGGAATACGCCGCGCGCGCCGACGCCTGGCTGCCCGTGGCCGAGATGCGGCGTCCGCAGAGCTACGGCCACTGCATGGTGGCGCACCGCGACTCGCTCTACGTGGTGCGCAATGGTCCCTCCGACGACTTCCTGCACTGCGCCATCGACTGCCTCAACCTGGCCACCGGCCAGTGGACGGCGCTGCCCGGCCAGTTCGTCAACAGCAAGGGCGCGCTGTTCACCGCCGTGGTGCGCGGCGACACGGTCTACACCGTCAACCGCGTGTCCACGCTGCTCTACGCCATCGAGGGCGGCATGTGGCGGCTGCAGCGGGAGAAGATCGGCTTTCCCCGGCCTGGATCCCTGCAGACTTTCCTCCTGCGGCTGCCCCCCGGCGCTCCGGGACCTGTGGCCACCCCTTTGCCAGAACTGTGATCCTCCTACTTTTTACAGGACAGCCTCTTGAGTTTTCTTGAGTCTTGGGGGGCCTCGGTGGCGGCTGGAAATGCCTTTATCTTCTCCCTCCTGTGGAGACACTCTGTGTGTGGAAATCTGTCGAAGCAGATGGTACTGAGCCCTTCCGTCACAGTGGGCTTTGTGGAGAGCTGGTGGGTAAGGGAGGGTCCTTTGGGAAAGGGGCAGGGGGCGGGGAGGTTAGGATTTGAACAACCCCAGGCTTTGTGTTTGAATGGGCCAGTAATCAAACACAGCTAGGTGTGGGTGTAGGGAAGGTGCCAACCAAAACTCTCAGTCAGTACAAATTAAGCACTTAATGTGAGCCGGAGACAATGCTAGACCAAAGGAGAGTTTGTAGTGGCCACATGGGGTAGATCAAGCTTAGAGTCTAGCCCAGAACGACTCAATGCTGACCTAACAGGGAATGACAAAGAGGTTTCCAGTGCTGCTGGGTGCAGTGGCTCACACCTGTAATCCTAGCTACTTGGGAGACAAACATCAGGGGATCTTGATTCAAATCCAGCTTGGTTGTAAAAGCGCTCAAGACTCCATCTCAACAAATGATAGGCGCACCTGTCATCCCAAGTTACAGGGAAAGCACAAGGGCTGGTTGCAGTGACTTGGGTTCCTGGCATCCCAGCAACAGAAGGAAGTACAAATAGGAGGATCAAAGTCCAAGCTGGCCCAGACATATAATAAGATTCATCTTAAAAATAACCAGCACAAAAGGGGCTGGTGGAGTGGCTTAAGTGGTAGCACACCTACCTAGCAAGGCCCTGAGTTTTAATCTCAGCACTGCCAAAAAGAAAAAAAAGAGATTTACACATGCTCCATCCACAAAAGGTCACAAACAATATGCTGCCTTAAAATAAAATAAAAAAAACTCACCCACCAAAGAAACTACTAAAGTAACCAGCAGAGTAATGGAAAAGGGGGAAAGAGGAAAGGTAAAATACGTTACTCCAGGAAGAAAATTATAAAAAGTGAGGAGAAGAGACAGGATGAGTCTGGAAGAGGAGGTACAGATTATGGAACCTGGGAGGTCAGAGAGGAAAGATGGAGGAAGGCGGTAGCAGATGGCAATGGGTCTGCTTTAAGAAAGAGCTTCTACAGCAGATAAGGGCATTTACAGAGGGGAAAGGATGGTTGCACTTGCAGCAGACAAAATTGAGCTAAGCCTGAAGTAGGGCCTATGGGACAGCCCCACATGGAATGTTGGTAGAGAGCCCAGGTGTAAGCCTGTAATCCATACCATCACACAGCTTGGCGGACTGTTCATTTGACTTCAGGTAACTCAAGATTTAAGCTCAATCCTGTATATCTCCTCAGTTGATTCCTTCCTCGACAGTCTACAGGTTCTGTCTCCAATAGAGATGGGACTTAAGTCTCTGCTCCTGCCATTCCTTGAGCCTGGAATGCCTTTCCTCTTCCTCTCTCTCTCTCTCTCTCTGTGAGCTCTATACCCATCTCTCTACAGGACTGGCTGATCCCTTGGCTGCCTGCATTGCTCATTGGTTCCCTGACTGTGATGTCATTCTGTGTTGTGTGTATATAGCATACACATCTGCAGATAGTAAGGGCAGAGGTTCTGTGCTGAGTTGGGCACTTCACTACCTGTGGAATGAACTGATGAGCTCTTGGAAGAATCAGGCCTTCAGAGCCATGAGTTAGGGAGCTGTTGTGGACCTTCAGTGTGAGACTCTTGTCCTGTCTTGTGAACAGATGTCTGCCTAACTCTTGGGCAGACATTTCCATATGGTGCTGGTCTCCATCCTCCAGGACCTGAGGCTTTGGGGAAGAATATCATCAGCATAGCATGTACAGCCTCATCTCCTGACCCATGTGCCAACCCTGGAGGCTGCTGCCCCTCAGAACCCCAGGAAGCTATTTTTTTGGTTGTGGGGCTTGAACTCTGGGCCTGGGTGCTGTCCCTCAGCTCATCTCAAGGTGAGCTCTCTATCACTTGAGCCACATCGCCACTTCTGGTTTTCTGAGTGATTTATTGGAGATAAGAGTCTCATGGACTTTCCTGCCCAGGCTGGCTTTGAACCTCTATCTTCAGATCTCAGCCTCCTGGGTAGCTAGGATTACAGGTATGAGCCACTTGGCTCCCAGGAAGCTTTTAACCCCTGTGGTAGCCTAGTCTGATGAGTCTCAACAAGACTTAGAGTTTGACTTGACTTTGACAGAGACTTTGAGTATTGAGCTAATACATGAACAGATCTCTTCTCTGGACCCATTATAGTCTTGCAAGAGATGAGGGCCTCCTCTATGTGTCAGATGAGGTATGGAAAGCTCAAAAGCTACCTGGCCAAAAGCCACACAGCCCAGCAGAATCCCTCACCTGTGCATTTGTCAATATATAATTTATACATATATATTTATATATACAATTATATATATATATACATATATATATATATAATTGTCAATGTTAACTGGTTTATTTGGCTCATTGATAAGGGAACCAGAATACCAAACTGGTTGTAAAGGGCTTTGGAGAGACAGGAGATGTATGTATTTAATGAAAAAAGAAATGCTGGAATAAGTTTGCTACATTAAAGATGAAGCTGGTTACTGTCTTATTGGGTCAATAAAACCATCTTTGTGGGTCTTTCCTAGAAAAAAATGCTTTACTTTTTTATACACATGTACATACACACTACTTGTGCATGCCCCACGAGTTAGCATAGGAGGTCAAAATGGCTAGGAACTAATCCATAGTAAATTTTTGAGTGTGTACTGGTACTGGGGCTTGAACTCATGACCTCATGCTTTCATTTGGCTTTTTTTGAGCCAACATTTTGTGCTCTACTATTTGAGCCACATCTCCACTTCTTACTTTTTTTTTTGTCGGTCGTGGGGCTTGAACTCTGGGCCTGGGCGCTGTCCCTCAGCTCTTCAGCTCAAGGCGAGTGCTCTACCACTTGAGCTACAGCGCCACTTCCGGTTTTCTGGTGGTTTATTGGAGATAGGAGTCTCACGGTCCCTCCTGCCCAGGCTGGCTTTGAACCTCGATCCTCAGATCTCAGCCTCCTGAGTAGCTAGGATTACAGGCGTGAGCCACCAGCGCCCGGCCACTTCTTACTTTTTGCTGGTTAATTCTAGGTGAGTATCTACAATTACATGTCTCTGCTTGGATTTGTCTTCAGGCTGGCTTCAAACTGGGATCCTCAGATCTTAGCCTTCCAAACAGCCACTGGTGCCTGGATAATAGTAAATTGTTAAAACAAAAGAAGGCACATGGCCCTTAATAACTCTTCGCTGTTCAACTCTGCCCCAGAGTTGAAGGCATGCAATCCTCCTCTGGCCTTTACTTACACACACACACACACACACACACACACACACACACACACACACTTCACTTTCCCTCCCTCCCTCCTCCCACTCTCATTCCTTCCTTCCTCCCTCCCTCCCTTCCTCCCTCCCTCTCTTCCTTCCTTCCTTCCTTCCTTCCTTCCTCCCAGACATGAGGCTTGAACACAGAGACTGGGCGCTATCGCTGAGCTTTTTCACTGTTTTCACTGAAGGCTAGCATTCTAGCACTTTGAGCACCACTTACAGTTTTCCAGTGATTAATTGGAGAGAAGAGTCTCATGGACTTTCTTACCTGGGTTGGCTTTGAACTACAATCCTCAGATCTCAGCCTCCTGAGTAGCTAGGATTACAGGTGTGAGCTACCAGTGCCTGGCACACACATTTTTTTTTTCTGGCTCTCCACTCTGAGACTTCTGTTAAATATTGCAGGAGTCTTGTGATTTTAAGATTCATCTACTCCCAAGCTCTCAATCTACTGAACTCGGTTCCACTGCACTTTTGCCTGCTCAGATGGGCCTGCTAGATTCCTGCACCTTAACCCAGAGCAGCAATTTCTTAGATGTCTTTTTTTTTTTTTTTTGGCCAGTCCTGGGGCTTGAACTCTGGGGCTGGATGCTGTCCCTGAGCTTCTTTTACTCAAGGTGAGTATCACTTGAGTCACATCACTACTTCTGGCTTTTGTTGAGTACTTTATTGGAGGTAAGAGTCTGGCTTTGAACCATGATCCTCAGATCTCAGCCTCTTGATTATAGGCATCAGCCACCAGTTACCTGGCTTGAGATGTCTTTTGTGCGTAGTAATGATGCCATACAAGTTTCCTATTGCTGACTTATTTGAATTTTGAGACTTATTAAGTCTATAAAGTCTCAAAGCTTGAGACTTTAGTTTATAACACCATTGCTTCCTTCTTTAAAAAAAAATTAGCCAGGTGCCAGCGTCTCACACTTATCATCCTAGTGACTCAGGACGCTGGGATCTGAAGATCAGGGTTCAAAGCCAACCTAAGCAGGAAAGTGTGTGAGACTCCTATCTCCAATTAATCACCAAAATCTGGAGATGGAGTTGTGGCTCAAGTGGTAGGTCGTTAGCTGCGAGCAAAAATGCTCAGGGACAGTGCTCAGGCCTTCAGTTCAAGCCCTAAGACCAGTACAGATAGCAAACAGACAGACAGACAGACAGACACACACACACACACACACTCTGTCCCAACCCAGAGGCTGCCTATTAAGTCCATTCCTACACCCCCACTACCTAGCCTTCTACAAATGTTCTCCTTGACCCTGACTCCATGGCCGGACACCACATGCTCTTTTTCCCCTGGAACTTACCTGCTCCCTTCCCTGTCTTCTCTGAGTCTGTTGGGACAGAGAGAGTCATCCTAACGGGAAGTTGAGCAGACTCACTGCACCTCCACAGTGACCTGTCAGGCAACTCCTCACCACTCCAGTGAAAGCACAAGGTGCCTTCAGGACCTTCCCGGGGCCCATTTCCTTCCGGATATCCTTTTATCTCTCCTCTCTGGTCTCTGCTAGTCTTCAAACAACAGGTACACTCCCAGCTCTAGGTCCTCTACCAGACACGCCTGCCTCCTGAAGCCACCAGGCTCGCTCCCCACACCCAAAGCCCTTGGCCCCGATGGACCTTCATTCTGATTCCTT